GATTTTTGTAGTAAACTTAAGAGTTTCGATTTTAGCACTCTAGGACCAATCTGTAAATGTAATACATGTAGTTGACTTTTATTGTACGTACACATACATTGTCATTCTTATTCATATTCATCTACTGCGATATCTTTCACCGAACATAATCTTTAGACTCTTTTAACTATCAATATTAATCACCTACAATTTTACAATTATCACTCGTACCCTAAACTTATATATTTTTACCTATAAAGTTTTAAGTACTTCTAATAATATACCTTTAATTATAGTTAATTTATAGTCTACCGTTTTATACATGAGCCTCTAGCTCGGGCAATTGGGCAACCATGCCTCACGTTAGACAATAAACTTTGATTGATTGATTGATTGATCAGTAGGCATATTCTCCATACTGTTTTCTATACATTTTATAGGGTACTGACAAGGAGAATTTGTTTTACTATCAAGAGCTTTCTCAGTTAGTGAACAATTCCTTTATTCTCCTGACCTTCATGTGTGATTCAGGGGTGATATTGTAAGGAGAATTTAGATGCTGGTCACTCTTAAGGGTTAAAGGGTTAAGGAGCTTATCAGGAAGTAGAATACTGACCATAGTTTCCTCAAAACTATGACTGAATTTCCTCCAAACCGAAAACCCGTCAAAAGTGATGATACAAACTGAGGTTAGATGATGAGCTGCAGGAACAACAACATAAGCGAATAACCCAAAGTGTAAAATCTTCCAAAAAAAAAAAAGAGAGAAATCATTGTCCAGAAAAGGAAGCGTCTTAAGCTGCGCGGAGTCTCAAACTGGAAAATGCAATAAATTTAAGTGCATTTATAATTCGAAAAACATGTCTCAAAAATTATTAAATTGAGGAAACCGGAGCGCCTCAACCCTCCGGCATCGAGCCGAAAAATTGGTGTATTGATGTATTGAAGGTAATATCGCGAACATTTCACTAACCGAATGGATTAATATTGCTAATTCACGTCATCGAGAAAAAACAACGAGAAAACTTGTAAATGTAATGCCTATGTGTAAATTATTGTTTTTGTTTTTTTATCCGGCAAAATGTAAATTATCAGGTATTGTAAGGTCACACAATCAGTTCGAATTTTGCATTTTTTTGCTGAAAATTACAGTGAATTTTCTATCCTTAAGTGATTGAGTATTATTCTTCTTTTGTTTGCAGCTCTGTGTTCATATAAATTTTCGATGCAAAAGGGAATTTAAGCGAAATTCCTGGGAAGGAAAATAACTCTTCATACATGTAACTCAACATGATATTTCTGCAAGATTTGAACAATAGGGTCCCGACCTGTCATCCCAATCAATAGACCACTTTCAGAAATGGCTGCCGAATTAATATTCTTTTGTTTAAATTCAAATTAGCCCTTCTGGCCTCGCTTGAGATAATGTATTCTTTTGAATTTTGCACTGGAGAACGAGGCCAGTAGGGCTAATTTAAATTTAGACAAAAGAATATTAATCCGGCAGCCATTTATGAAAGTGGTCTACAAGCCCTATGCCATTATTCCCACATTGCTATTCAATCAGGGACCAGTTATTAAATATCACCCAGAAGGTTGGGGGGGGGAAGTGTGGGACGCGGAGGATTTCAGGGGATCACATGGTTTTTCAGGGGAAATAAAGGGGGCAGGGGGGTCAGTTTTAGCCACTCGCCAACAGAGGATAAAGCTGGGACAATAGAAAGCTGACTGCCAGTTAACTGAAGATGAAGGGGAACCATAAGAACATTACAAGGCCTTACTATAATGTGGGGATAAGGTAATTAATATATATTTTACCGCGACTCAGCCAAAATCCTCCAACCCCTTAGGTGGTAATAATGACCGGTCTCTTAGTTGATTTCATGCACGTTGGGTTTAAACAATTCAAATTCCTATTAAATATTACATTGCACAAATATACCAACAAGAATATTTTCTCAAAAGAATCTAGCCTCTGACTTTCCCTCTTTCCCTCGAGAATCTGCTTACAACATTTTCCCAGTCCCCTGAAATTTTTTTCTACTCGTCCCCAGAGTATCCCAGTCGACTCGATCCGGAAAGAAAAATTGAGCGGGCATGTGTAGCCTGCGAAGCAAGCCCTGAGGGAAAGGAGGGGGATTGGGGGGAGCGGAATGTGCGGAGGGGAAAGGGAGGGCTTGCCACAGACCCCCACTAACTAACGAAACGCCCCCTATTTTCATATTCATATCGTCTTGCATGTGTCAATCTGCGCCTCTTAAAATTAGCCAATCAGAAAGCGCCACTAGCGAGAGCTTAGTCAACCATGCAAACTATCAAAACAACAACTAAAACTTGCTCCACGTGAGACAGAAATGTCAGACGACAAGGAGAATCTGGTATCAAAATCTAAGAGAGGGATAAAGCCAAAAGTTAATCCAGAAGGCGTAGTTTGCCGGTTTCGTGGAGTAGATTTAAGAATTAAATTTGGAAGTGGCTTCAAGAGTTTTGTAAACATTTTTAATCAGATACGATGAATATATGAAGTTCATATATTTTGAACTGCGCTTATAGATACGTGTGATGCACGATCCTCGCAGTAGAGAGAGCTAATTATGCAATAGCGAAAATCAGACCGGAAAAAAATCAGGCCTGTACGGGATTCGAACCACTTATATCTGCGATACTATTGCAGCGCTTTACCAATTGAGCTAACAAGCCAACTGCGAGGATCGTGCATTATAC